GAAGAAGATAGACAACATTTTTGCTAGTGCATGTAATAAATTCTTCTATATTATAGGTGGTACCTTTTTACAGTAGAGTTAAAACAATAGCTTTTCTTTGTAAATTTGCTACATTTGCAAATACACTTTTTTTGCATGGATGGAAACCCTTTAAATTAGAAAATAGTGTAACATTCTTGGGAGGGTCCATAATATTAGGAGTTATTTTATTCCTAAGTGATATGGCTTTTCTGAATATTATCTCGGGTTTTTCTGGTAATATAAGGTTTAGCACGGGATCAGACTTTAGAATTTTCCAGTTATTATTTTTGATGATTTTTGTAATAGCTTTATGCTGGATAGAGTAGCCTGTGACGAAAGGACACACTTTTTTAGGTCTTTGTATAATTTCGTTACTTAACATAGTGTTTCTATTAGATCTGCCTATATCATCCATAACTAGATCAAGTGCAGATTCTTCATACCCTTTCTCCAAAAACTTGGTTTTGATAACCAACGCTTGTTTCCGATATGTAGTAATCTCAGTACAGTTGCGTCTGATTCTAGAGAATTGACCCTTGGGTATATTTCCTTTTTTTTATCTCTTATTTTCTCAATATAATTCCTAGATTTTTTTCTTTTCCTCTGAGCCCTCATTAAATACTTTCCTGGTCTATCCCCCCCCATCTATATCTCTCACTTATTTTATTAAACACTCTCCTCTTCTTCCAAGATGTTATTTAATTCTCTTTTATTTATTATCTTCTGCATGACCTTTTGTTACTCTATTTTTATGTGTCTGCTCTAATTCACAGAGTTCCCTTTTTAAGAGTGTATTTACTTTTTTCTCTTCTTTCCCTCTTCTTTTTTTGCTTCCTATCGCTATTAAAATACCTCTAATATAGACCTTATGTGCCTCCCACACCATAGCTACCGACACTTCCTCAGTCATTTTCTTCAAATAATTGCTCTATTTCCTTCTTAACTTTACGCTCCGTCTCTTGCTCCTGGAGAAGTGACTCATTCAACCTCCATAATTTTCCTCCTCTGTTTTTTTCCCCCATAGCAATTGCATTGTAACATGTACATGATATGTATTCAAGATTGGATTATATACTGTTGGACCATAGGCTTATTGTGTCTCTGGTCAAAGTAAATATAGAAGTTATGTCAATTTCTGACCATGCCCTTGTTACAATTTTGTCATGTTACAACCAAAAACGTAAATTTATTTTTTTTGGGCTTTTATGTGCTAGATCAACACAAAGTGGCACATAATTGTGAAGTGACAGAAAATGAATGGTTTTCAAAATTTTTTACAAATAAATATATGAAAAGCGTATTCTATTGGCTGTTATAACCTTTGATGAAGGCTAGGTCATATGATTTGTTTCTTTTTTTCTTTGTTTTCCAACAATGTTTATCTCCTCATATTACCTGTTCTTACATTTTCAAGCTCTGTCTTCACATAGCCTTTCCAAAAACCTGTTTATTAATGTATCTCTTTGGGCTATGTAATCCTGCTTTAGGGCACAGTTACTGTGAATTCTCATAAATTGGCCTTTTGGAATTGCCTTCTTTCACTTAGGATGATGGCAACTATGCATTGAAATATAGCCATTCCTATTGGGCACAAAACACCTTATGTCAAAGAAACTAATACATGTCCGTGTTTAAAAACCACTAAATCAAGAAAATTGTCTTTTATCCTTCTGTATATTGACTGTAAACCAGATGCCATATACATTGAGGTTTATGTGCTGCATAAACTTTCTGGGTGGATTCTGATCCCTGCCAAATCATTATGATGTCATTGATGTACCTTTTTTGTACATGCGTAGCTGTGGCCATGTTCTACCATATATTTTTCTCCTCTTCCCATTTATTGAGGAAAATGTTAGCTACATTGGGGGCATATTTAGCCCACATAACTATGCCTTTCAGTTGTTGGTAATACTGTTTACCATACCAGAAGAAATTATTGCTCATGGCCATATTCAGACCTTCCAGAATAAATTTTCTTTTGTGGGGTTTTAATTATGTTTATGAAGAGCCCACTCTACTGCCTGCGTAACATATGTTTGGTTAATATTAGTATACAAAGATTCGATGTCTACAGTATCTAAGAAGCTATGCTTATCTACTTCAATATCTTTCAAAATATTACCTAAATCCCTGCTATCTTTAAGGTAAGATGGACCCTTACTAGCCAGGGATTGGAGATACTGTATGCATCTAAATACCCAGATACACCCAGTCTAGAGAAAATGAGTCAATCCCCATAATAATGGGTCTCCCAGGTGGACATTTTTTATTTTTATGTATTTTTGTTACTTTGTTTATTACAGGCACTTTTGGGGCCTCAGGCATTAAATACCGGCTTTCCTTATCTAAAATTTTTCCTTGTTGAGTCCTTATCAATTTTTTTAAGATCCTTTTTTTAGAAGATTTCTGAGGTTACTCTTGAGTGTTTTTTTTTTTTTTTTTTTTTTTTTTTTTTTTTTTTTTTTTTTTTAATAGTACTTTCATCATTTTAAAATGTGTTGCATTTCTGCTTCATAGTCCCTTTTGTTCAATATCACAATTCCTCCCCCTTATCTTCCGTGAGGATCACTATATTTCTTTTCTCTAAGACTGTAATGCCCTACCATATCTTCTTACCCTTATTTCCTTTTAATTGTCATGCCTTTTTAGGTCTTCTTCCACCATGCTTCTAAATACTTCCACATATTGTTGGTTTGAGGATTTGGGATTAAGAGTGGACCTATTTCTAAGGCCACTGTGTACATGCTGAGTTTGCAGGTTGTGACCTCCTCCCCCTTGTTTTTCTAAAAAAATTTTTTTGATCCCTATTTGCGTATACATTTCTGTAAATCAATGTAGGCGTCAAATTAAATTTATATTTTTTTGTAGGTGCATATTTTAAGCCCTGTTCCAAGACTAAAAGTTCTCCTGTGTAAATACAATGTCAATATTAAATATTCCTTTTGTAATTTCTACTTTTGTACTTTACCTATGCTTTCTTTAATAACTTGTAGGTCTGCTTCCTCCATCTTAGATGATTCCAGGGAGTTGGGTATTTCTTTATCCTCCTGCCATTTGTAAATTTTTTTACTGGCATAGTCTTCTTCTTTTTTTTTTTTTTTTTTTTTCTCATCTCGTTTCTGGTATTTTTTTTTTTTTTTTATCATTGTCCAGTTTAAGCACAATTTCCTGTAACTTTTTTTTCTCTTTTCCCTTATACTCAGTGGTGTGCATATAAGGAGTTAATTTTTCTTTCAAGGTAGCTTTTTTTGGATTCAATTAAAGTTGGTTTCCTTCTCCTCCTCTGGACAATGATGCATAACGATTTATTTTCACATTTGCCAAAAAAATTAGTCCATTCCTCCATAAGGTCCTTATCTAACCAAAAAGTGTTTATATGTAAGGCATTATTTATTAGCGTAAAGTAAGAAAGTAGAAAACATCATCCCGAAATAGTCACCTAGATTACGTATGGTCAAATCTTTAAAAGGTTTTGTAAAATCTACATATGTTTACATGGCATGCATGGTTACATGCATTTTTGTATAATGTATTAGTGATTTATATAATGGCTTCAATTGTATTTCAGTAGTCTTTAGTTTAACGTTTTGTAAAAAACTTACATGGTTGTAAATGGTATGCATGGGCACATGATTTTTGCATTATACATTAAATGGGTCCCATATATAAACTTAACAAAAAGGTATGAAGAATGAATAAGGCAAATATATGGAAACCATTTGAATACATATTCTATCCAAAAAATCTGTAATAAAGCATAGCAAAAAATGAATATTTTTGGAGTGTATATAACCACATCTCCAGGATAATCATCCTAAAGATTACAATATCAGCCCCACAAGTCTTCCATTTTTCAACTCAAACTGTAGAAAGGGAAAAGAAAATATATGCTCCCGAGGTCTATTTAGGGTCTTAAGCTAGTAAATCCAACGCATCTCTAATTTAGAGATTTTCTCTGGTCCTATTACACACTCTCCAATGAGGCTTCAATTTATCAATCCCCATACACCTAATTTTGCTCAGGTCTCTATTATGGAATCGCCTAAAATAAGCTGGAAGACTAGGGTACTTAAAGCCATGTTTAATGTTGTAAACATGCTCTCTAAGACGGTCCCTCAAACGTGTATTTTTACTTTCTTGTCTCCACTAATATGGCGGCTCAGTAATTCCTTGTTTGTTTCCCATATATCCACAGCGAAATGGTGCTGGCACAGTTTTCGGTATATGAGATGTTTTCCCATTCTTAGATCTAAATTTTGTAAAATGGCGGAATGGGTGAAACTGCACATGGGGAGCGCACTACAAAGGTAATCATTGAGTTTGTTACAGGCGTCCCAGTGTTAATGAGGTGGTGGAGACTCTGCTCCTTGCACAGATGGAAAGGGCTGCAAGGGCTGGGACAGTGATTATAATGGGGGATTTTAGATACCCGGAAATTGACTAGAGTAATGGTACTGCAGGGACAGTTAGAGGGCAAAAATTTTTTAAACCTACTCCATGACAGTTTTTTTTATGGTACAGTTCATAGAGGCCCCAACTAGGAATGATGCTCTGCTGGAACTGCTAATCTCAAACCATGCAGAGCTTATTACGAATGTCCATATAAAAGAACATCTGGATAGCAGTGACTATAACATGATTTTATTTATTGTTAACTGTAAACAGCAAGCACATATGGGAAAAATAAAATGCTCAATTATAAGAGATTGAATTTTCCAAGGCTGAGAGCTGCTCTCCAAGACATAGACTGGGAGGGAATATTGGCATCGATGAACACAACACAAAAATGGGAGGTCTTCAAAAAGACTGTGTGTGAGCACATATATTCCCCTGGGCAACAAGTTTAAAAGGCTAAAAATCAAAATTGTAAAAAGATCAGGTCTGAGCATGTAGGCCCTTTACAAAATAATCTAGAGTGGGTGACAAAGAGAAGGCAAAATTCCCACGGACACAGCGGATCACCGATCCACGGAAAGAGCTGAAGATGTCAGCTCGGTCATGTGATCAGCTGTGTCCAATCGCAGCTGATCACATGTAAACATGTATCGGCATTTCTCTCCTCTCGAGCTGTCACGCTGATAGCTCGAGAGGAGAGCCGGTAATCGGCATTCCCCGGAGGAGACAGGTACACTGATCATCAGGGCACTGATGATCAGTGTACCCTGATGATCAGTGTGGCCCCAAAAGTGCCTCCTGTCAGTGTCCATCAGTGCCAGCTTCCAGTGCTGAACAGTGCCACCTGCCAGTGCCCATCAGTGCCACATCAATGCCACATATCAGTGCCTACCTGTGCACATCAGTGCCCATCTGAGCTGCCTTTCAGTGTCACCCATCAGTGCCAGTCAGTGCCACCTATCAATGCCACTCAGTGCCGCCTAACAGTGCACGCCTGCCGCCTTTCAGTGCATGTTATCAGTGGCCATCAGTGCAGCCTCATTAGCGCACATCAGTGAAGGAGAATAATCACTTTATTTACAAAATTTTATAACAAAAACTAAAACTTTTTTTTTTTTTCAAAATTTTCAGTGGTTTTTGGTTTAAGAAAAAATAAAAAACCCAGAGGTGATTAAATACCACCAAAATAAAGCTCTATCTGTCACAAAAAAAAAATAACAATTTCATATGTGTACAATGTTGCATGACCAAGCAATTGTCATTCAAAGTGTGACAGCACTGAGAGCTGGAAATTGGCCTGGGCAGGAAGGGGGTATAAGTGCCTGTAGGCTAGTGGTTAAAAAGGGGTCAACATATTTACCAAGTAATTATAGACCTGTTAGTTTAACTTTTATAGTTGGGAACATACTGGAGAGTTTAATAAAAGACCACATAGATGAGTTCTTGCTGGAAAAAAATATTTTAAGCAACAGGTAGCATGGATTCATGAAAGACAGACATTGTGAAACAAATCTGATTTCTTTTTATGAGGAGGTGAGAAAAACCTTGGACAGAGGGGTGGCGGTGGATGTGGTATACTTGGATTTTGCAAAAGTGTTTGACACAGTTCCCCACACACGGCTAATATGTAAGGTAAAGTCTACAGGCTTGGAAAAATGTAAATGGATAGAAAACTGGCTAAAAGATCGTATTCAGAGTAGTGGTTAATGATTCATACTCTGAATGGTCTAGGGTTGTCAGTGGAGTAGCCCAAGGTTCAGTGTTGGGACCCTTACATTTTAATATATTTATAAATGATATAGGGTCTGGGATTAAAAATACCATTTCAGTCTTTGTAGATGACACCAAGCTGTGCAGTGGAATAACGTCCTTACAGGATGTCTCCAACCTACAAGCCAACCTCAATGCACGGTTTAATTGGGCCACTATGTGGAAAATGAGGTATAAAGTTGATAAAAGTAAGGTTATGCATGTGGGGGCTAAGAATACGCATGCATCATACATACTGGGGGGTACAACTGGGGGAATCAATGGTGGAGAAAGATCTGGGTGTTCTGGTAGATCACAAGCTTAATAATTTGCATGCAATGCCAAGCTGCGGTTTCTAAAGCCAAACTGATACGAGGCATGGAGGAGCTCAGCTATGAGGAAAGATTGGAGGAACTGAATTTATTCTCTTGAGAAGAGGAGATTAAGTGGGGAGATGATCAACATGTATAAATACATCAGTGGTTCATATAGTGAACTTGGTGTAGAGTTATTCACCCTGAGGTCATCACAGAGGACAAGAGGGAACGCTTTACAACTGGCGGAAAATACATTTAATCTCCATACAAGGAAAGGTTTCTTCACAGTAAGAGCTGTGGAATAGACTTCCTCAAGAGTTGGTTCTGGCCAGCTCAGTGGATTGCTTTAAAAAAAGGGCTGGATTCTTTCTTGGATACACAGAATATAACTGGATACTAACATTTTATAGGTAAAGTTGATCCAGGGAATATCCATTTGCCTCTTGGGGGATCAGGAAGGTATTTGTTCCCCTGCAGGAGCAAATTGGATCATGCTTTGCTTGGGTTTTTTTGCCTTCCTCTGGATCAACTGTGGGTGTAGGATTATAACTTTTTTTTTTTTTTTTTATGGTTGAATTGGATGGACTTTTGTCTTTTTGTCAGCCAGACTAACTATGTAACTACGGAATCACAACTTTTAGTTTTGCAAGATGTCAGAACCGCAGTTTCCAGTTGTTCGATTTTGACTCTTATAGAGGGTGGGTCTGCAAAACCACAAATTTAAAAAAAAAAAAAAAAAAAAATGTCAACACTAGATTACCCCTTGATAATGTCCTATTAAATGAAATGCGTTGGGGAAGAGTGATTAGTGCTGACTTCACTCCTCTGCGCGATTTCCGCTGCACAATTTCGGGTTGGTAAGGGCGTTTCATGTAAGCAAGTTGAATGTTTTGTTTTGACTTAGTTTTATGCCAATCTTATGCCATATCTTTTAACAATAAATATCACACCATTGGAGATGTGTGTTGCTCCGGTGGAGCTTTATTTATCACAGCCTTGAGAGGTGCCTGTTGATGCAGTTGTTGGGAGATATCTTACATACATTGGTGGCTGTGGAGATACTATATGAGCACATAGGCTGTTGTAATGGCAGCCATCGGTTCCAGTGAGTTTTTAATTCACAGGGAGGCAGTGGTGGACCTCTGATTTACACTATATGAAGAGTGATCACAACTGTTAAGGTGGTGGATAGATTTCTTCAAAACTTTCACTGGGACTTTAATTATTTCTCATGGACTTTATTTTATAATCTACTCGTATTTTCTTTATTTACTCTTTTTGATTTCATGTTTATCACACAATTACTTTGATGGCCCTGCATGTTTTGTTGTACTACCTATTGGTGAGAGTGGCCACACAACAGAAAACACAGTACAGTTATAATTTTGTTTTAAATCTAAAATCCTATTCTTGGATAATTCTTCCACCCATGCTAGTTTGAACAAGGACAGCCTTGACTAAATCAGAGCAGCCCAGGTGATCAAGTCTTTTCTCTGCGGCCTTGTGGTCCTGAGAGGCCTTACACTTGGCATTACTATCTATTTGACATCGCATAGCTCCAAGAGACTAATTTGTTTTCTACATCTTCGACTTGATTTTTTTTTTTCATCCCTCCTATGAAAGTATTTTGCGTCAGCCTCCATGGAACACAGGGGGGGGTCCTTTTTATAGCCATTTATCGGCACACTAATTTCATTTGCTAGAAGCCGATAACTACCTTCAGGATCAGGTATCTATTATTACAAAAGGAAATCTTGGGATTGTATGGGGGGGTGTGTGTGTGTGTAAAGACCGAACACACAAAGAAAACATTTGACTTTAATGAATTTAAATGTACACAAACACAATATAATACCCATATATATATGATGCTGTGCTGAGTAAAAGGATACCAAACATGTCACCCTTTAAAATTGCGCACGCTTGTGGAATGGCGCCAAACTATGGTATTTAAAAATCTCCATAGGCGATGCTTTTATAAGCGTTGCAGGTTATCAATGTAGCATTACACAGGAAGTCTGGTGCTAGCATTATTGCTCTTGCTCTGACTTTTACATATGCATATGGGACCAATTCGTGCATTTGCTTTTGCATGGGGGTGGGGGGGTGCAGTGGCGCTTTACCTTTTTTATTTATCTTTTTAACCACTTTAAGTCCAACCAAACATTTTTACCCCCTTCCTGTCCAGGCCAATTTTCAGCTTTCAGTGCTATCAAACTTTGACAATTGTGCGGTCATGCAACACTGTACCCATAGGAATTTTTTAGCATTTTTTTTAGACCAATAAAGCTTTATTTTGGTGGTATTTATTCACCACTGAGATTTATTTTTTTTTGGTATGTAAATTAAAAAGTCCAAGAATTTAAAAAAACTTTTTCTTATAAAATTTTGCAAATAAATAATATTTCATCATATATCTTGGCCAAAATGTATTCCGTTATCTTTTTAGTAAAAAAAAAATAACCCAAATTAGTTTATAACCAAAAATTATAATTTTTTAACATTTTTATTATATTTTTATATATATATATATATATATATATATATATATATTTTTTTTTATATATATTTTTTACATACTGTCCCCCTAACAGTACAGTGTCACCATGTACTACTTGTGGGGGGTGATGAAGATATATTTTTTTTTTTTTCTACACTGATTGCTTTTACACCCATAAAGGCTGTAAAAGCAATCATTTCACCTTCTCTCTGGCTGCATTCTTGCAACCATTTGAGAACTACTGGTGTGAGCTGTGATTGGTCACAGCTTATCACATGGTACAAGGCTGTTGTGAATAGCCTTGTACCATGTGACCTCTGTGATCATTCAGATTTCACACGTAGTAAGCAATGATGTCAAAAGTGACATCTTGCTTACTACTCTGCATGTGATCACTGATTGGCCAATCAGTGATCACATGATCGGGACCTCACACAGAGGTCCCGTACGACGATCGGTGTTCCACTGTGTCCGGATGACACAGCGGGCACCGGATCGCGTTGCTGTGCGCTCCCTGGGAGCGTGCACAAGCAGGGGGCGGGGAGGCCGTTTATAAATGGCCACCCGACCGTGCACTGCCACCGTCCGGCTGTTTATATACAATGGCTGGACGGGAGGTGGTTAATTATTATATATTTTTTAATCTTTTTGGTTTTTTTTTCTGTCAGAATTTAAAAATCACTTGTGACAGAAATAGGCAGTGTGCCACACATACTTCCTTTTTTTTTTAATTTATTTATTTTTTTCCCCTCTGCCCTAAAGGTATTTGACAACACCAAGATTGGTGTGTTCAGATGCTTTCCTATTTAAAAAGGGCGCTGTTTACAGCCAGGATTTCTAGTGGGATGGAGATCCTGGAGAGGCGGTGGTGGGACATGGACAGATGATGGTACATTGTGACAGCTGTTGATGGGGCACTGGTACATTGACAGATGCTGAAGAGGCATTGGCACAAATGATGTGGACAGGGACAGATGGCGTTTGTTGCACTGGTATGGGATGGCTGCAGTCTGTGTGTAGCTGAACAGTAAAATCATCAGCTACACACAGATAATTGAAAGGCTGCAGTGATTCCCCTCTCTGGACACAGCCATCACATGATCGGGAGGGCCAATCAGAGAGCACATATCCAGATCTGTGATATATCAGGGACACAGCCCTTACAGAATTGCATCACTGCACGGCCCCTGGTTCTGATAGGACATACAGGTACACCCAGTCAGAAACGGTGCGTGTGCCAACTGGCAGTTTATGTACAGTGGCCGGGTGGGAAGTGGTTAAAATCGTTAATATCATAAAAAAAAGCAGAGAAACAAAGGACTTTGAACGCGCTATGCAGGATTTCCAAATAGACCCACTCCCTCATGAACCAAATCCTCCTGGATAAGACATTTTTGGACATCCTAAGTCCCCATGTTATCTACCTTTTTTAATTTCCTTAGGAAAGACAATGTGGGCCCCCCAATGCTTTTGAGAGCTTTTGTGCCCA